CTGACTTATCAATGTCATTGCTGTTTGTCATTGATGCTGCTCTGTTCTAGTCCTGGGGGGTCTTTGCTGCTGCTCTTCCTGCCTCATGGTTTCCTTGTTTGCACATGGAAGGGCAGAGAGGTGTGCTCTCTCTGCTTCAGGCTTTCCTTGTTTGCACATGGAAGGGCAGAGAGGTGTGCTTTCTCTGCCTTAGGCTTTCCACATAGGCATGTGGAAGAAGCTTTCTGCATGGGCCTGGGAATGCAGAGAGGCCCCAGAACAGAACCATACCGCCAAATACAATACTGCAAATGGAAATAAGGTTTTCTTTGACTAAAGTGGTCCTGACTGAACTTGAGCTGAGCTTGGTCACAACCTCGAGTGGAGGCCATATGAATACATACTGAACGAGGAGAGGACGAGACTACTGTTTTATTCTCCCACTCCTAAAGCTTAACCGGCATCCTTTTAATATCTTGAGTTAAGATGTCATAAGTGATGATTGAAAGGGTTTACCTACTGTAACCCTTACCCTTACTCTTTTAGAAAAATCCTGCATACTATATTTATGATATTATTTTCCCCGTGCCCCTGCACCACAAGCTACAGCCTCAGGATGTAGATCACCTTTCTTTTAACCTAACCCTAACACAGCATGATGCACTGCAACTTCAGGAAATGCAAGCAGAACAATAAATGAGAATTTGGCTGTTTGTGCAGGTCGTAATATTGGACAGAATAGTGCTAAAAACCTATTTTGATACAATGCTGCAGAGGCTTACTGTACTCCCAACCCTGAACAGTAGGTGCGTTATCTTATATATCCTTTAGGTACAAAAACACCTGTTAAGGGAAGGAAAGGTGGCCTACTGGCTTTAGAGACCTTGGGGTGAACAATCAGACCATGTTCAAAAGCTCACAAAAACAAGGTTGCCACTTGGCTACCAAAAATGGCTACACAGTTAACAAGAGGTAACTCCATTGTTATAAGTTTTGTTGTACCTGCACAACCCCGGTGGCAGCCTGAAGCTTCATGCTCATTGGAGTGTTCACACCCTCTCTCCATCCTACAGTCTGATAACTCAAGGGACAGGTTGGCATTTTAACAGTTATCATCTGCCGTGAATTTGTGCTAAGATTAACCAGATGATGCAGAAAATACTGAGTGAGGGTGATGATTTTGTAGGGACTGTGCCTCAAAGTGGATAATGTGCTGCTTGATTTTGTCTGATATCTCAGCTTGTAATAGAGTAATAAAAGAGAAAGACAGAGAGACAAAGAGAGATAGAAAGACAAGCAAGCTGTTGGGAGGCCAGGATGTTGAGGATGGATGTGCTCAACGCAGAGACGTGTGTGTGTGTGTGTGTGTGTGTGTGTGTGTGTGCCCAGACAATCTCAGCAACCTCTATTCTCACAGCCTTGATGGCCATGCCTGGGGAGAGCGATGATAAATGGTCGCTTTCCTGTAATTTACCTTCAGCAGGATGGATGGATGGAGCTGGCCTGTTTGGTTAGAGGGTGGGGAGACGAGGAGAAAGGAGAGTGTAGGTGAGAGAGGGGGTGGAGGAAAAAAAAGAGAGAAAGAGAGTAAGGAGTTTCCTGCTTTGGACCTGACTCGGGAGGTGGGTTTTCTCAGAGGTGAGGTGCACATCCAAGTGTGTGTGTGTGTGTGTGCCTCGCTGTTTATTTACAGAGCTTTTGCTCCGTTCATACAGACGGGGAGCCACTCGCTCTACCCAGTGCTCTCCCCTTTCAGACCCCAGTCTAGCCCCTGTGAGTGGAAACACACCAGAGCAGTGCCCACTGTATGCGAGCATACTTTCCAATGGGAAACACACACATATCAAGTTGACATTATTTCCGCAGCTCAGGCTAATGACTTCAATTAAAGAGACAGATTATCAACACAACACACAGCTCATTAACTAATAATTTATTTTTTTATCATTTAGATTAAAAAGTCAGTGGTTCATTGCCTCAGAGGAAAAATGTACAAGGAAGACTTTGATATAACAGAGCAGGACTGAACTGAGAGAAGAATCCCTTTGTTCCCCCAATGAAAGGTAGGTGGATAATTTGTGTGTGAGTGAGCCATTACTCCCAGGACGTTAAAGTAACAGAAAGTGGTGGGTTGTTGTGTCAGTTCCCGTCTGTGCCTCTATAGGAAAAGCAGAGGGTCCAATCAGCCCGCGTCACATTTGTGCTCTCCTCAAAGTCATTTACAATTGGGCGGTAGTTGTCTGGGAACAACGTAAAAACCAAAACAAAAGGAATACATTCTGTGTAATATCTGAACCACATCTTCTGGTCGTGATCACAAAAGCATATGTTTCTGGTTTTCCACATCCATATAACATCATCTGGTTTGTACATCCATACACGTGAGTCATCCCAGGCCAAGTGACGCTTTTACAAAAAGACAACATGAATGGCAGAGGCAGCTCAGTACATATTTACAACATTAAAAAAACGTGTCAAGACTTATTTAACAAGGCGAGATGGAAGTGAACCAGAAGGAAATCAGGCCAGGGGAAATGTAAATGATAATCCTTCATCATCGGCTGTTCAGACTCATCATTGCAAACATTAAAACATTGGCAAACCTTTCTGCACCTTCACTTCATGTGCATATCACTTGTTTACTCGGGTAAGGTTAATTAGACACACACACACACACACACACACACACACACCTGCGAATGCTATAAATGCTGCAAAAAGGGGGGGCGAAACAAAGCAAAGCAGTTATGGCCTCAGTTCCACTGCCAAGCTGCTCGGCTTGTTAACGTAAAACAACAGGACGGCTCTCCCTACGAGGCTCACTAAATAGCTTTCACAAGACTTCCACCCCCCCTAAACAACATCTGGCTCACTCTTACTTCTTATTTTTACACCAACATTCAGGGTGGGCACTCGAGAAAAGGAAAACGACAGAAGAGCTGATAGAAAGAAAAGTGTGATTTTGTGCGTGCAGATTCAAGGACACCGCCGTTCCTCCGCCAGTATGTTGGGCGCTTAAGGAGTTGAGCGCCAGAGAGGCCTCACGGGCACGTTATTTCACCATCAATCATAATGTGTCACACTGTACTCACATACCAGGGCGAGGAGACTGGTGCTACTGTAACACCACCTGTCTGACGGGCCGCTGCAGACAGCCAACACACAATCAACTGTTTGGTTCTGCATTTTTGTGAAATTCCAGCGGTGGGTTGCGCCCTGGGTATAGCGCTGTCACCATTTTTTTTTTTTGTGTCCTTTGCTCTTTTGTCACACACCAGAAATCACAGTGGGTGACGACTCATTTTGGTTTGGGGTTTTGTTTTCATAGACTGTAGATAAAGATGGACGCATGAAATGAAGTTCAGAGATGATCCCTATTGTGATTTTTGTTCACACAATAAAATTTGTACCTTCATCCACATGGTCTGGCAGTGCCCGGAGGTTAACAAATTCTGGTTTAACATCTCAAGCATCCTGTCTAATCTCTTTGATAGAGCAGTCCCTCACTCACAGCGCCTGCTCCTACTCAATGATACTTCATCATTGAAGCTTACTATAAATGGCAAATGACTTTTCTTAGCCGTATGAGTGAGTGACTGTATGGTTGAGTAGTGAGTGACTGAGTGATGATGCTTTGTTTATGTAAGATTTTCTATGTGATATTTTCTTCATTTAAAAAAACAACAAAAAAAAATATTTTTTTCTATCTATTATCATTATTACTATTTTTGTTGCTGCTGTAGCTAATGTTACTGTTTTGTATATATCTGCATAGGCCTGCAAATTCTACCATGTCTTATGCATAGGTTGGGGGGATTAGGGTTGGGGCAGGTATTGTTGCCATTGTAATTTGTACTGGGTCACGCTGGACACAGCACATCTGCCTCTGTAACTTGAAAAAGAACAATAAATAATTGATCTAAAAAAAAAAGATGGACGCATGACAGCTCCCCGAAAGTGAAGCCAAAATATCTTGAATGCAGTAGTACTGGTATTGGTCACAAACCCTGCCCCCTTTATATTAGCAGATGGGACATTGGCGAAACTTAAAGATCAAAGTATGTGTCAAATTATGTTCGAGTGTTCATTTTTTTCAATAGGTTTGGTTATAACTAGTTATTTGATACTAGAAAAAGGGGGGTTTGCTGTCATGACTGACAGTTTGGTGGGTTCTCGCAATCAGTGGCGCTGCTCCTGATTGGTTGAATGGGTGTATGGGTGGGAAGTTCTTTAGCACTGTTAGCACCCTATGAATGACATTATGTGCTTATCGTAAAGTTACGTACTTAATGCAAAGTTACGATACTTAGGTTGAGGCAAGTAAAGATAAGGAGGTTAGCTTTAGGAAATGATGTCGGTGAAGATTCTCAGTCATCCAGGTCATGGTAATCATAAGTCCTAATATCGTAGGCAACTGGACTTGCTTGCGTTTCTTGAAGACGTTTCGCCTCTCATCCAAGAAGCTTCTTCAGTTCTAAATGACTGGTACGAAGTTGCAGGCTATAAACCCTGTGTGGGTGGGAACCATTGCAGAGTCGTAGGGGTCACGTGAGCTCTTAGTTTCAGAGTCGTTAAGGTCACAATGTTGGTCAAGATTCTCATCATCCAGGTCATGGTAAGAGCTCACGTGAACCCTATGACTCTGCAAGGGTTCCCACCCACACAGGGTTTAAAGCCTGCAACTTCGTACCAGTCATTTAGAATTAAAGAAGCTTCTTAGATGAGAGGCGAAACGTCTTCAAGAAACGCAAGCAAGTCCAGTTGCCTACGATATTAGCACTTACGTTTATGAAATTATGTACCTGGAAATAACGTACACTCTCTAAACACGGGTCTCTTAGGGTAAAATCCCTTGTTTGGTGACCAATCCGAGAGCAGCCCGCACCAGAGCAAGATGTCTTCTTTTTTGTATTGTAGGAGGAAGTCGAGATGTGTTTTCCATCTTTATATACAGTCTATGGTTGTTTTTGGATGATTAAAAAGTCATTATGAGACAGACAGATAAGCATGAAGATCCACAATCATATTGAACAACATCCTGTTCAGAGTTTATAATAGCATCAGCTGTCATGGCGTCCACATTCTTAAGCTTGGTGACATTATTTCATAAACACTTACAATCAGACCATACACCTGCGTGTGTGTGTTCTTCACAGTTTGACATACATTCTCGGAAGACGTGAAAACAAGAGCTACAGTGCAGTACAGTACACCACTGAGGAGTTTTGGCAGCCTCGTTCTGTGCTGTCACTTATCTAAGACATTGAATACACAACATGCAAAAACGGGTTAAAAAAAGGAGAGCTTGGGGAGGGTGGTGGCTGACAGAGAGAAGAGAGCAGAGGAGAGACACTTTTGGAAGAATGACAAACCAAACATACGGCCGCAGCCAGAGGAGCGTAACCACTCGCTAGCATGACATGCCTGTCGGCACACTCGCTGCTACGCTGGCTTGATGTGCCCCTCAAAACTGTGTGTTTATCTTGTACTCTATTTAAATAAATTGTAATGTGCTTTACAAAATGAAATAACAGCAAAAGGCAGATAAAAAGCTTGAGAGCAACCAGACGGGTCTCTCTGTGGTTTTCGTTGGTCCTGACTTCCATAGTCTCTTAATTGAATTTAAAAACTGACTATGCTTATTTGGCAAAGGATGACAGGGACTGTGTGAGGGTAGGCAAGTGGGGGGAAGATGACTTGGGAAGTTTTCCTTTGGATCTTGATGCTCATTTTTAGTTTAGTCCGTGCTCTGCTCACTGTACGGTTTTGATGGACCAGCAAAAACCACAAACATGCAAACATAACAAAGCACATGAGGAATGAAATATGATCCTCTCATGTCATAATACAATCAGTGAGCACTAAAAACTTTCCAGCCTCATTCATTTTGTCAAAATACACTCGAGAGAAACACGACTGTGTTGTTTATCCCACTTTGTTTTCTTTTTACTGCATGAAAAGGAACTCTCGTTTCAATCTCTTATTTCGGCAAACAAAAGCCTGCCAGTCGCTGGACACATCAGGAAAATGTTCAGACATTTAAATACAAAGAAATGACATTGGCCACACAGCAACATCTGGAAGGCCACTACCCAGCGGAAGACATTATCCATAAAGTGAAAAAAAAAGTCTCCTTGGAAATATTGGTATTGTTCTGAAATTCCAGCCATTTGTCCACACCGCTTAATCTGTCTTCCAGAAAAAGTGACAAGCAATGAGTCATGATGGTGATGCATGACTTTGTAAACCACTCATGAAAGGGGCTGGTGGTGAAGAGGCACAGCCCTGGAGGCCTGGAATGTGACTCACACATGCTAACGGGTTTGCTCTGTTTAAAATGAAACAAAAGAATACATCTCAAAAAAAAAAAGATACGGCTGGGATATGGATGGATGAGATAAAACATAGCCACACGAAGAATATAACCTCTACTGCGAGCAGTGGCATCAAATACTTGCAAGATACAAGAGCAGTTTATTCTGTGAGGGCTGTCTGGTGGCAGCAGCAGTGGTGGTGAGACTGAGGTTTGCTGTGGAAAACGTCCCTGCAAAGGGAGCCCTTGGTTTCTCACAGGACACATGTTTCATAGTTAGAGTCTGTAGTAGTTACTGCAGAGACCTAAAGCAAGTAGGCCCGTTTTTTTAATGAACATTTTAACAGCAAATGTTGAAAGGTTGTCATGTCGGGCAGTCCAGCTCGAGCTGATCCGAGGTTGTTTCAACAATGAAACGTGAGGAGGCCAAGCTGAGGATGTGCAGCTTGTCTTGTTGCTGAAATCAGTCAGTGACAAACACTGTTGAATAAAATCCTCAGAGAAGTGTGTGAAGTGTTGTATATGTCAAAAAAAGTGGCAGGAGACAGTCAGTCTTGACAGGAAGAGGAAGCGGAGGGTCAGTGGGTCTGAGTCAGGGGACGAGTGGACATTTCCGCTGTCGTCGTTAAGGGAGGGAATGGCGTCTGCTTTTGTCTACACTTCATACCCTTTTTAATGGTCCCTTTTTAAGGCAAACCAATTGGACAAAAAAGACATAAAGACAAAACTTAAAAAAAGAGGAAAATAATTATACAATATACACAAAACGTGGTCCTTAAAACAGGTAGGGTACATGCAGTCTTTCTAATGTGCAGCGTTCCTGTGATGGGGGAGGACAGGGAGATGCTTGGGTAAGGGTTCATGAAGGTGGGGCAATGGAGGGAGAGGTAACGCCGCTATCCCATCACGCTTTGCTGCACTTCCCCTTCTTCTCTTTGCGCTGGAACTTCCTCAGGCGTCTCGTCCAAACGTCCCTCCACTGGATCACCAGGCTGTTCTTATCAGCCACCAGGCCCACGCGCTCCGCTCCGGGACTGGTGGCTCCTCCCCCGGGCCCGACCCCTGGACCCGTCGCTGGGCTCGTCCCACCGTCGCTGCCGCCCATCACCAAGAATCGTTTGCTCATCTGGATCTTGGGACATTTGCACGCCAGGTCCTTCATGTGCACCCACAGGATGTTGTCGCCTCGCTTCAGGGGCTCGCCGCGGCTCTTGTACACGGACACCAAATTAACGGAGAACTTTGCCCAGTCGCCCACCGTCTCCATGTCCAGGACGTTCACTTGCACCGCTGAGGGAAAAAAAACAGGTTCGGGTTAACACTCCCAACACAGTATAATTATTAATTATGATTAGCTGCGGTTACATAGACAATATCGCTTAAATCTGATAATTTTGATAAAAGATTCCAACTTAACTGTTGACATGGACACTAAATTAAGTGATCTGTTAAGATGTGCATTTACACACCTCAAAGGACTTTATCAGAATATAACTTAAACACAACAAACAGATGTCCCCTAAACACCTCACATGGTAGACTACTGGTAGACACTACAAATGAACAATGTAAATGTCTATGCAGGCTAGAACTACTGTTAGCAATAGATATAATGTCCAGCGACTCCACAAATGCAAGCTGTAGCAGCAACGTTTCAAAAGGCTACCATTTCGAAATCAAAGATACGTTTATTAATTAGTGCACTCACGTAAGTTTTCCCACGAAAAGTAATGGACCAAAATTTGTACATATCATACGACATCACGAGCCAGTAATTCGTGTAAAACCCACGTATTTGGGAAGGCTGCGTTCACATAACCAGTGTGCTGATGGGCGTAAAGACAGAAGCGTTCCCCGCAGGGAGATGGGTGGGGTAGTGAATGGGTCAAAAAGCACAGGACTTTTATCCAGGACTTTTCGCAGGAGACTGGTGTTCGGAACTTGGAGTGAACTTTGAGTTATTTTCAGGTACATCCTCATCATGTTTCTTTTCCCAAACCTAACCAAAGTAACTTTACGTTAAGCATGTAACTTAATGTTAAGTACATACAGTAATGTCATTGGTGGGGTGCCAAATTGTTAGATATACAAACCGTGCGTTTTCTGAATATATCACCGTTTGAGGATATGTTTCACTAGCAGAGTGCCAAATATTTTTCTAATTGGTTAACGATTGTCAAAATCAGCAGAGAAAGTTGCGTAGAGAGAGCTCACTTAATGTTACCTCCATGTGGAGCATGGATTATGTGCTTACATGTTTTATTAGATGCTAATGTTTTCCTATTGAGCAGACTTTCAAAGGTTTACACCACCCCTCTCAACCCAATGAAAAATACCCTCCGATTGGACCAGTCCCAACGGAGGTTGTTAAATGAGGCACTTTTATTCTGATTATTAGTGGAATATTAGGGTCCATGTAAATGCATCTATTAGTAATTAATTTTACTCTCTTACCATAATCCTTTTTGCAGTATTTCTTCATGTTGATCTTCAGGTTGCCCTTCACTGGTTTACAATAGGACTCGCAATCTGCAAAGCACAAGGACACCCAACATTCACTCTTGTAATGCAGGCTGTAACTTAATATTACTCACTGACACTTAAATTACACACATAACAGGACACTTACACACTTGAAATTTCAATCGTTGTCATAAGGTTCGATTTCAGGACACACCGTTTTATAGCTCATTATGTGGTGCTTTTGTAGCAGCACCAGCACATCTGTTGGGCTAAAGTTAGTGTGACAAAACACTGTAAACTGTTATGTGCTGTGAAACCACCAATAAACACACCCAACAGCATCAAAATAAATCACTATGTGCTTCACATGCACGCAGGCCAAGGCTGTTAAACATCAACACAAGAACATGTACGTATCAATGCTACTTTTCTGGATTCTGTTTCCACTTGTATTGTTTCATAACCTTGTGGCAAGTATGCTCATATTCACACCTCACAATATATTTTCCCTGACAGGTCCGAAGGCTCCAAGCGAAACCGGAGCAGGTTGGATAATGTTGAGCTTGGTTTGGTTTTTATATGCTAAAATACAACTTTCTGACAAATCGCACATCAAACCGTTGCAACAGCCGGTGTCGGGACGCAAGGTGAAGCAGACCAGAGTAGTAAAAGCGTTCGATTTGACATGTTTTCGGGGGTCTTGAGGAAAGACAGAGCACGGTGGAAGCAGGTCATGGTTGGATGGATGTGAATAGACCTTGGCTGCCAGCGTGACGACTGAGACCACACATTGGACAGATGACCTCCGCTGACCATTCATAAGTGGAGTCGCAAGTGATGAGGTGTTACAGTTATGATTGTGACAGTTGAAATCGACCTTTTGGCTGAGTCTCAGATCTCTTCATTTCTGACTGACTTTAAAAACAGCCTTGGTTTGGTTTAGTCATCGAGTATCTATGAGCATCTTTTTCAGGTCAACACTTCTTCACACAGTTACACGTACATGGAAGTTGCACTGGAAACAGTTCTGCCCTGAATTTCTCCGTCTGGTTCTGTGTCTCAATTCCCGTCCTTCCATATTTACGCTTGCTATTTTGGGTGTATAATTGAGTTCACACTGTCAAGTGTGGCAAAATGCAGTGCACTGTGGATGGTGTTCTCATAGCGGTCAAAAGGTAGGAATGTTGGACACTTCTCCACCTCAGTGGTCACTGTCTTGGCTAAGCAGCGGAAGGGGAAGGACCAGTAAACTTTTGAGAAGGGCAGCTGAGGAAGCTGCAGCAGTTGGAGTTGCTCTGGGGAACAGAAGCCAGCAGAAACTGCGGTCAAATGTTGAAGGTAATGTTCCGTCCGGTTGCAATTTGCCATGAAAAAGAAGGAGAAGCGGTCAAATGTTGTGATCATCATTTTCGGGAAGTGCACAACAGCCATGGTCGGTCTGAGAGAGCACTACACTGTTGAAAGTCACGTACACAGTTTAGTGTACACAGTGCACTACATGGAAGTGTCCTAATGGACTTAAAGCAACGACTTCTCTGGCCGCAGCCTCACATGTCTTGACTCTATGGCCCAAAGTTTACCTTCAATCTGAGTAAAAAATTACAATAGTAGTTGAATTTATTTGCAAACTGATGTTGAAAAATGACTGCATACAAAACTTCCTATGGGCCGAGAAAGTAGGATTTAAGTTAAGTCAGATAGAGCACATGCATGTCATTAGTTCTCATGGTTTGTTTCTTGCAGCCCTGAAATATTTATTTTGTCATCCGGACATTAAAAGCTTTGCTTCTCTGTGATCAAGAACCACGTTTTCCATGAGCTGAGAGCAGAGGCAATGGAGAACGAAGAAGACGGGCCAAATTAAATGAACTCACAAAAACAGGAGAAAGTGCTCATGTTAGAAATCAATATCAAGAATTCCTGATAAAATTTATAGCGTCGCATTGTGTTTTCATAAATTGTGCTCATGGTAACTCCTGCTACTGGAGCTGTGACAAGAAAGAGCGAGACACTGTTGATCATTAGCGAGGCTCGTACTGTACTTGACTGGATGCCACTGGGTTTTATGAACCGTAGAATTTTGGATCCACTTATTTCAATTACAAAACTATGAGGAGGACACATGAAAATGATGGACTGAAAATGCAGAGAATGCCAAGAGGGTCATATTCCAACATGGTTCGAGTCAGTTTTAGTGAGGGGGACACGAAAAGCTGACCATGCTGCTCGCTTGGAATGTCAGGGCATGAAACTGAAAAACCACATGCTTGTTACTGGACTGGTATCCGCGGTCAGGCCTTTCATTGCCTTCAAAAGGAAAACCATTCAGTCATATTGCTTCCCAAAGCAAACCAAATAAAATTGCTGGACGTGAAATGCCCTAATTAGAAAAAAAAATGGTCGTGAGAGAGAGAAATTACGCTTTCTGGGGTTGCATGAGAGTAGGGGTGTTGCATCGTTCATTTTTTGGGGAAGGACGGATGGAGCAATGGAAGGAGTGCATGAGGAGGAAGAAACGGGGGACCAAGGAGCCCATAAAAATGTCCAGGAGGCTTGGCTGTATATCAGAGCGCTGGAGATTTTATTAGCCAGAGAGAGGAGAGACAAGGAAAGAAAGGGAGAAAGAGAGAGCAGATGGCAGCTTCCAATAACCTCGAGACAGGGTGACTTTAAAAACATGATGAGTGGAGGTGTAGATGTGGACGGGTGCAGAGGTGAACGTGTGGATGGATTTGTGTTTATGTGTGTTTTGTACTTTAAAGAAATGATGTTAATATCATAGTTTGCTTGCTTCCTTTTCATTAAAAGTGGGCGTGTGGTTTCATGTGCAGATCATTATTATGTAAGTGTGCATGCAGCTGTGACGGGCATGCATTTGTATGAGATGTGCATGGGTTTCATTAGATTGCTGCCGTTGTGTGTGCTGTACACAGTGGCCGGCCTGAAGGTATTGGTGACTGGCTGGAGACAGTGTGTGTTTTCCCATGAAGAGTCACTCACTGCTGGCTGTTCACCTGGAAAAGCTCTCGGTGAATCGCCCACTGACCCAGAAGACCGGCCCACTGAAAAACACTCACAATTGGCTCCGGGGGCTCTCGATGCCCTCGTTCCCTTGAGCCCCTCTCACTGTGCCGTGACAAGGACAAATTGCACCCACCGCCCCTAACACAAAAACTTTTTGGGGGCCTTGGGTTTCTCTGATGGCGGAGCTCATTCTATGGGAGTTTAGTAAGCAGAAAGATGGAGGGGAAACGCTGTGGTGTGTTTGGTAGGGCCTGAGGTGAATTGGCGATCAACAACTCTTGTGTTCTGAGACCCCGTAACATTTTCCCAGGGAAGTAGTAAACACAAGAAAGGGCTGGACTGTGCATTTTTTTTTGTTTGTTTTTCACAAAGGCTCAAAGGCCCAAGTAATGAGGAGAAACAGATTGAGAGAAGTCACTGATGAAGAAAAAAAAACTGCAAATGTTGAGGAAAATTATTATTATTAATAATAGCCTATTATTATTGATATATTTACCTTCAAAAGAATATTTAGATTTTTTTTTTTTTGGAGTTGTAGTAGATGTTAAATAATACTTTCATGTCTGTGTGGTAAATATGCAGCTGCCGGCAGCAGATGATTAGCTTAGCTTAGCTTAGCTTATCTTAGCAGCTAGTCTGGCCATGTCCAAAGGCAACAAAGTCTATTATATTTTATTTCTTAAATCTGTACAAAAAAGTGTAAAAACAAAGATTTGTGATTTTACGGTTGTTCATGTGATGGACAACTTCTTTGATTATTTCTGTTTCCAGTCTTTATGTTAGGCTAACCTAGGCTAATGTAGCTTAGCCAATATACAGAATCTACAGCAAAATTATGACAGTGGTATAAATCTTCTCATCTATCTCTTGGCAATAAAGCAAACAAGTGTTTTTTTCCCCCAAAATGTCAAACTATTACGTTAAATGAACACTTCATCCCCCAAATTACCATTTGTGTATCAATAACTCACCTTTTTTTTACATTGAATTTCTAACGAAAACTTTGTTTTTACTGACATGCCTCTGGTGAACGAAGAATCCAAAAAGTGAGAAAATTCTTGATAAACTGAAGTCACAGCATTCCATGTTTTACAATGAATGGATAAATTACTATTTTATTATTGTGTCATGCAAACAGTTATGCCCAGCCTGCATGGGCTTACAAGACACCATAAAATACAATTTTAAAAAACAGCCAGGACCAAAGTCCAGCATACATATTTTCAGACAACATTAAAAGGAAAGAAAATTGTGCAAAACAACAAAAGCAATGTACATAATTTGAACAACAACTACTGTAAGGCCGAGTTCATGGATCACTCGCAAGGCATTTACCATACAGCATTGAAAAAATCAAAACAAGTACTAGTTAAACTATCTTGCCTTCTCCTTCAGACTTTTGCAGCAAAATTGGCAAACTTAAACGCATCACAGTTAAACAGCCATTCTAACCAACTCTCACATTATTCATGCAGTATAATCCAAGTATCATTCATCCAGTTGAATGCTCAGTAATCCTCAAACACATAGCCCTTTCTGGCAGGGAACTGAACTACAAGTGAAAATTATCTACACAAAGCCAGACTCCATTGACAAAAGCAGTAATTTTACCTTGCTGAACACAGGAGCTGCTGGTCCACCAATAACACAAACAAATCAAGCGTTCAGTGAGGTAAAATTACGGCTTTGTCAATAGTGTCTGACTTTTAAGGGAGAACTGATAACCTTTACTTTTCATTAATTTGTCTGTTGGAAAGGGCGGAAGCTGAGAATGTGCTGTCATGACTGAATAAATGATACTTGGATTATACTGCATGAGCTTTGTGGAAGTTTGTAAACAGCTGTTTTGATATAGTTTTGCTGTTGTTAAATGCTGCAGCTTATGATTTCAGTTCATCAAGAATTTCCTCAGTTTTTGGATTCTTCGTTCACCTGAGGCATGCAAGAAAAACAAAGTTTTCTTGACAAATTCAATGTGACAAGGAATGAATTATTGAAATGGGTGTTAAAGTATTGCTTTAATGCAAACCAATGCATTTATTCTATACCATTGGATTTAATAGGATGTTTTTTCCATAGTCACTGTATGCATTATGCACTGACTGCGTGTTTGGCGTTCAGCTTCACAATTTTCCCGTGAAGTCAGTACCAGCCATTATAGACATCTTTAACCCTATAACTCATACCCTCAAACTGGACTTCAAATGTAAGAAGTCCATAGGTCAAAAGTGTAATTAGCGAACAAAATATTTAATTTGTATAAGAGCAAGGATGTAAAAACAATAAAATGATATGCTTTGAATCGTACGGTGAAGTATCTGTTGCAAAGTGTGGGGTGCGATCAGTAGCCTGAGTGATGATATATGTTGTAAACTCACTAATGAATCAACATTTCCAAATCAACACCACCATTCAAATCAAACAGACACAGAGTGAAAAATAAGGGCAGGGTAATTGACCGGATCGTAAATTGGACAGTTAGAGGGAGAGACTGAACAAATTTCCCCCTAGACACTTGCCAGCACTCCTTTCACGCCTCAAAACTCTCCCTTCCACTATATCTCCCAGCTAAACTTTAACTAATCACCTCTGCTGCCTATCTGCTGGCCTTGGCTTTGAGCACGAGCTATATTTTTTTTGAGCACAGCGAGGCTCCACTAACTTGAGGTTAGCGGTTAGAGGAAACTGTGCCAAGGACATAGGTTTTTAAGACAATGGAAAAATTCTGCTGGTCCCGGTGCACTCGTTCATTCTGCAGAACTTCAAAAGGAGGGGACCCCGCCCTTCATTAATATTTATTCCACACCTTAAAACTCAAGTCCAGGAATATTAAGAAATATGTTTTTGTTCCTCTCATAAAGCGTTGGTGCTTATGGGCGAGGTGCAGAGGGCAAACACTAACCTGCTGGTTCCTCCGTGCTGCTCACCACAGCTGTGGGGTTGACCACTGGGATTTCTGAAACACACAGACACGAAATACAAAAGTTATTTCGCTGGGTAAATGTAAATCCATGCCTTTCAAGTATGGGCTAAGTGATCTGGCTGCATGCCTGTGGAGAGTGTATGTGTGGTCAGAGAAATGAAGTATGTCTGAATTCATTAAAAGTAATTGCAAAGAGTGCATATGGGAAGGTTTGGTGAATATATTAATAAAGCCACAACAAAATACAGAGGGCAGAAGAAGTAGAAAGTGGATTTACCCAACAAATCCAATAGGAGAAAATACCAGGGTTGTTTTACAGTAGGTTTGGATTGTGATATATGTCAACTATGTACATGAAAACACATGGCGCATTGCAGACAGACAAGCTAGATAAACACTGACAGACTGACAGGCGTACTTATTGGTGGTGAGAGGGAAGACAGGCTCAAATAAACCATGCATTCCACCAACTAATGTGGTGGTTTCACTGTCATTTTTAAAGAAGAGAGATCCTGAGTCAATATAAGTGGAAGAAATAATGGAGGTCAAAGGACCAAATTTACATTTTGAGCCAAACTCTCTGGATGCATCACACAGTAATCACCCAGTAATCCAGTTCGGAGAAGTCAATCCGTTCAAAGTCGGCACACTTGATACATCTGAGGCAGAAGTTGATTCTTTGAGGCACACTGATTAAAATGGAAAGGTGGCTGCACTAGATTAGTCTCGTCCTCCCCCAACAGATGCTGGGTTAACACTGCTGTGTAATCTCCATGCAAGCGATGTATAGACAGATGGACAGATGGCAAGGGGGCAATTTTGCTTGGATCGTCTTGAGACAGATGCAGCCCTCCCTCGCTGTGCCCGCTGGCTACACTAAAAAGTGCCTTGTGGAATTCCTCCAGGACTTCTCTTCTAATCGTATGCAACTTTCCAATACAAATGCTAATGCTAACAACGGGCCCTCGGCTTTTACCGTAAACAGAGTTACTGGAACGCCGGCTTAGCATCCACCCAGAGGATCTGCTTTTGATTGGATTTGGAGGTTGAGGGTTTGAACTGAGAGAGTGGGAGTGTGTTGGCGGGAGGCAGCAGTTGTCTCTCTGAAATTATGGACACCCCGCCAACAAAAACAAACAAGGGCACGGAGCTTTGTGAAGGCAGGCGCAGCTGCTCGGAGCCACTTTGAGTCCGTATGCCCTCATGGCCATGTCTTGTGAAGACAGACAGATGATGAAAGGATCATTCAGATGAGGGTTGCTGCCATCATACTAATTGGCTGCTTAATGGGCTTGTCTTCTGTCTCGGGGTCCGGGAGCCTCAGTAGGAGGTGAGATGCCCGCCATGGGGCCGTATTGACACACACAGTTGTCTATTCGTGATGGATCCAAATGTGCGCATGTACTTAAACGCACATACACAATTTGTCTTGTTCTCGCTGGATGGTTCAGTGGCACTGGAGTGAGTGGGGTCTGCCATCCATGACCACAGTTGTTTTCTCCCTTCTCGGCCCCGTCCACCATCTGCTCCGGAGCCGCATGTGAGAGAAACAACACGGCAGCATGTGGCACAGTGTGGCGGAGCTCGGTACGGCACTGGGCGGCACGGTTTGCTTTGGTGGAGGTTTGTCTTGTGAGTGTGTGCAATGTGTGCCCGTACCGCCTGGCACACAGTGTTGTGGAAAGTTGCCCTCTATTACACTATGCCTGCATGTGCCGGGCCGCTGGCAAATTTCATAACTCACACGCACACATGCACATTTGTCACAGGAAATTAAAAACCTGATGTAGCCGACATGCAAACTACAGAGTACACACACACACACAGACACACACACACATTATACATCGTTGACAGCAAGTGGAACAACAATAACCAAGTCTTGAATTCTCACACTACCAGCTCCCCGCTCCACTTTAACAAAGATCACATTTCAGTTCAGCCTGCTTTTACATCTGGGCCCTTGTTTGCACACATGTTTCGGGCTGTTCTCTATGAAATTATCATTGCATTTTCAGTGGCCATGCAAACCCGCAGAGCACATGTATTGTATACATGCAGCGCAGAGATCGGGCTGGGTGTGCCTGTCACAAGGCCAGAATGACTTTAGGCTACGGGGGGAGTGTGCTTTCAATTACGCCCTGTAATCTCACTGGTTTGAGTATGTGCTGCTTTTAGTGTACTCTGTTGTAACTATGTATTAGGCCTGTTGTTACATTATGTTCCTCACAATGGGGCTTGTCTGTGTTTTGCAGTTTTATGCCGTGACTCACTGCCAGGGTGATTAAATTACCAAGCTGAGGATGCAGTGACTGGTAGCTGTGTGTGCATGCGAGTCACTCACTGATGCACGGGGCCACGGGTGAGCGGCTCTGCTGGTAGCCCTTTGCGCAGCGGTTGCAGGTGATGCCGGTGACGCCGTCCTTGCAGGGGCACTGGCCTGTGGTCTGGTTGCACGTCTTGCCTGCTGCGCCCACAGGGTGGCAGTCACAGGCTGAGGGGGGTTAGGGACAGGTGTGAAGGGGGAAGGTAGGAGAAAGAAAACATATTTGACATTAATTCATTACATATTTGCAGAAATTACACCCAAAGGAGCAATCTTATGTTGTTTGCCAGTAGTAAACAGATATGTATCAGGGTTGAATGCTACATGTGAAAGCATAAGACAGCAGGCGACAAGCAGAGGATGTGTTAGAGACCTAGAAAGGCCCACTGTGCCCTCCTCTCTCCTGCCTACTTGTATCCGCTCTCCCAAATGCCGTGTGCCTGCCTGGTGACACACGCTCTGCCGTTTCATCACTTCCCGAAAGTTCAGTCGATGCCCGGCAAATGCCAACAGCAACAAGCAATGCTCCGGTCAACACGCTTTGGCGAGGTTTTTATGACTTCTGCTGGTTCTAGGCAATTTATCCAAGCCCCCTTTAAGCAACGTGAGTCTTTTTCCTTTTTGGTTTAAAGAGCTGTTAAATATAAGAGCTGGCGTGTTGGTCCAAAAGCCTTCTGAGAGAGCTTTACAAGATGTTAGAGAGGATGACAGAGGGAGGGAGAAGCAACATATCACAAGAGTGTGAGGTGAAGGAGAGGATGGGAGTGAATCAAAGAGGCACAGCCCGAACAGAGCCTCTGGTGTGTGCTCCCCAGCATAAACAAGAGTGAATCTAACCAAACTGTGGCTACGCCAACTCCACTAAATAAACAGACATTTGTTCTTTGAGTAATAAACACATACTTAACATTTCACGGCAATCCGGCCAGACAAACACATCAGTGACATATCAAAACAAATGCTGGACTTCTGCGTCTTCTTGAGCAGCGGTGTGACTGATTGGTTTCACTTGAAATGTGACATTCTCTGTCCAGAAGAGAACAAGCAGAGAAAAGTATCCTCTCCTATCGTATGAAGGAGACGTGCTGCCAAAAATACAACAAACCATGAAGTGCAAGGTGAACATTAGCCTTTCCCCTTTATTTCCAATGTAACTCTTTGGAAAACAGGCACAGGATAGTGCAAAAAGAGAGTGACTTGACTGTAACACAATAGCTGTAATTGTCCAATCTTATCAAGAAAAGACAAGAAAGGCCAAAATTACACTTTGGGGAAAAACCCTGTAACCCAACAGTTTGTTCCAGGGCTTGCCAGAGGAAGGCAGCTGCTAACATGCCGCGGTTTCTTCCCACCACTCGACGGAACTGTGAATGTGTTTATTTGCGCCGGACATTTTTGAGCTGCTACAACAGAGGACAGCCTGAGGACCCTACCACCTGTTGACTGGGCAAAGGGAGGGTTTAAATGGCTGAAACTGACCCAAGAGTGATCGTGTGTGTGTGTGTGTCTGGCGGCGGGGTTGGGGATGGGGATTAAGTGCGGCTCAGATCTTCAGAAACACGTTTGCCTTTCTTTTTTTTCCGGCAAGGCCGACCGATCCACAGGTGTCAGAGTGGCTGCGCTCTGTTTGAAGTTGCGCAACAGAGACGTAAATCTGATGCTTCAGCGTCCGTGCAAAATCCCCACCACTTGAGTCATGCAGGCCGGACCAGGAAAAGTCAAGCTTTGATAACACTTGGTAAGAGTTCCAGACTGACCTGAAGGGAACAGGCATCTGCATATGGCAGGATGTCAGAGGTCAGGTCGACAAGGGTCTCTTTGTAAGCTACATCCTCACCTGCATCAGTCAGAGCTCCTGCCGTTGTTACCAGGCACTACAGCGTCCACAGACCACTCATTCCTACAGTTTATGCCCCCCTCCTTCTTCCCTGTGAAATGATTTGTCCAAAGCACATGTGGGATAAACCCCCGTTATTTGATCTGTCTGATACAAGTCTGGAGTCGGTCTATCATGCCTGCCGAGGCATGTGGCCATTGTTTCCTGGCTGATCGCTGAACAGCGCAAGCTATCAACACAATCCAGTCAGTATGAACAAGATGTGAGTATTGTTAGACATTCTCACTTCCCCTCTAAACAATCATAGGCTGTTAAGACATCGGAGTTTACTGTCAGAGTCCACAATGTTCAGTAAACAACCAGCAACTGCCAAATCTGACCTGGGCTGTAAGAGGCAGGATGGGGATGGAGGGAGGGGGAGGGTGGTGTCAGTCTCCACCCCCAGCTCTCCTCCTTGAACTGCTTTTCTGAAGTTTTATGTGCAGGGGCTCAGGCCAGTTAAGAAGCAGTAAAAACGTCCTCAGAGGTTGATGACTTTTCAAGCCTTTGCAACTGCAGACGTGACAGGCACTGCGTTGGGATTTGTAGTTCCTTTGACAGGCTCAGTTTAACTGATTCGTGTTGCTCTGTGCGTGTGTGTGTGTGCATATGGGCTAAAGCACTTGGGAGGACTGCTCTTTGTCTGCAGTTATTGGCAGTTGCCACATTTGGAGAGGGTGGTGTTATTTGTGCCCTTAGTTGGAAATATGTTTTTTATCAGTCAGCTATGTTCTGCTCATAATTTAACTGTCAAAATAAATAAAAGTGTTCAAATATGTGCAGTTTTTAGGGACTGTTCATTATTTATGATGCAGGACAGGGTGGTGCAAAATAAAAATCAAATAATCTTTTTATATTCTGGCTTTAGTTGGGGACATACAACTTCAAATTGTTGCATTTTGTATTTATTATAAATACCCTCTGAACTCTGGGTTTGAAAGGCATGTTTTCTTTAAAAAAAAAAAAGCCAAAATCCCACCATTTATCATAGCCAGAAACTAGAGGTGTAATAATCCATCGATCTGAACTGATATATCAATTCAATGATCAACGATCATGTGTCATTGATGCTAAGTAAGAACATCGATCCATATTGTCATCTTTAGGATATGCTTTTATTTTGAAAGTCTGTGTCACTGTCAAACAGCGGCAGGCAGACGGCAAGCGGCCAAGAGAGAGATGATGAGGATAACATTATTTACTCGGAAATAAATCAGCGGCATGGAAATATTTTAGATTTAGAAGAAAATACGGGTCAACAGACAGAGCACGTGGCGTACGTACAGTAAACAATGCCGTTACGAGATAAAACACCATGGACCTGCCTGGACAGGCATCTCACTCACTAACTTCTCACTACAGCAACATTAGCTGCTCTGTATCAATGTTTGGCTGAAAAAAACGTGCATGCAGACTGAAATTCAACTGAACTGTTCTGTTGGGTGTTGCAGTGACTTAAACTAACAGTGAGCAGGAACAAAAATAACATTACACGTAATTTTTTAATGTAGGAGTACAGAAAAAAGTCTGCTAGCTGCTAAGCTGATTTATGCAATTTAAAGGACAAGTCCAGTATTTTGCACTTTGAGCCCCATTTCTAGGTTGTTTATGATGAAATAGAGTGGTTAAGACCAAAATAGTGACGATTGCTCATTTTCGGAGAATTTGTCTTTCCCCTGCCTGGCTTAACACTGCTGCCTATGGCCATGTGTGAACCTGTCCTAAAACCACGCTAAACATTCCTTTCCAAAGCCATGAAACTCACTGAGTGGTCAGTGGTGTTCGTTGATGTTCTGACATAAAAATTATAGCAAACTGTGGTTTCCGTGATGATTTATATGACATTTATTGGGGCGGCAGTAGCTCAGTCCATAGGGACTTGAGTTGGGAACTGGAAGGTCGCCTGTTCGAGTCCCCGTCCGGACCAAAATATGGAGCGTGGACTGGTGGCTGGAGAGGTGCCAGTTCACCTCCTGGGCACTGCCGAGGTGCCCTTGAGCAAGGCACCGAACCCCCCAACCGCTCAGGGCGCCTGACCAAAGGGCAGTTCCCTCACTCTGACATCTCTCCACTTTGTGCATGTATAGGTCCTGTTTGTGCATGTGTGTGTCTTTCAGACCTGTGTGTAATTGACAAGCAAGAGTGAAAACATTGAATTTCCCCTCAGGGGGATTAATAAAGTAAATAAACTTAAACTTAAACTTATTTAGTCTACTCCATTGGTTTTCTATAGGAAGCATCATTGTCCGTTGGTAGTAATCCGCCATCGGAACCGGAAAGGGGGTTGTTTACGACAAGGTTGTAGTCATTGTAGTCTTTTAGCTCAGCGAAAGTGCCAGCTCGACAGTGCTGTGTGGAAGAACAAGAACAAACAAAAAGTTTTGTAATAAGTCTAAACAACTGCACAATGGATTACTTGCTTGTAAACAGCCTTCCCAGTACGATGCCTTTGAACACGATGCCAACCTTCTTCTTCTGCTTCTTTTCTGTGTCCCATTACATTGCAATGGTTTCCTGCCAGTTGGTGACACCCACGTAAAGGAGCATTATCGCCATCAAGTGGGCTGGAGTGTATAACCCTTCAGGGTCAAACAAACAATCAAGCGGAAGTTTACACACAGGTATGAGGCAGGTGAAAAAAAGGTCCACAATCGAGATGAATATCGAAAACACGGATGGAAACCACAGTTTGTTACGATTTTTATGTCAGAACATCAGCGAACACCACTGACCACTCGGTGAGTTTCATGGCTTAAAGCGCAAAATACCGGACTTCTCCTTTAAACATGCTTAAGCTAATAATGAGCTGAAGTTGATACTTTTGTGAAAGGATCTTGTTGTTAATCTGTGTTTTATGGCTCTTTGGGGAAGTTCGCCTTCAGGGCTTTAAGCTAGGTAGACCTGAAGTTTTAGTAAAAAGATGATGGTTTGGGTTAAAATGAAAAGATTTCTTCCAGGAAGGACCTTGACAGAAAGCCCTGAAGGTTTTGCCATGTGGTGTTTTATGTGTTAGTGTTGTTTTTATCTTCGAAGAAATCGATAGTGTTAAATGGGCATATAATATCGTCTCATATCAGTCACAGGCCTCTAAATTGCACCGAATCGAAATCGTATCGTGGCAGACTTTGCAATATCGGAAAATATCTTACCATTGCCAAAGAATCAATATAATATTGTATCGTGATGAAACTGGCGATTTACACCCCTTCCAGAAAATGTAAAAACTTCCTTGATAATGATGATGATGCCATTTCTAAGAAGGATTTGCGTTTTACCTAAGAAATTAGCTTTGTTTTGATAATAACTCATTGTTTTATCTCCAGTACCTACATTTGATGTAAATCTGGCGAGGGAGGTTCTTGCATTGTCCCCCAGATACTAAGGGAGGCTCAAGGAAGAAATGTGTGGAGCATCTGGAAGGTTCAAGACAAAGTCACACCCCCCAGCCAACCCTCTCCTTTGATAAGTAAAGAACAGTCCCTGAGTCATATAATCAAGAGAATTAAGTACATCTTGCACAACTAATTTTTAAGAGATATTAGTATTATTGTAGCTTTTAAAGTAATAATGCTATGTTAAAGGACTGAAAAGCTGAAATCAATAGAACAGCTCAACCCTCTCAGTGACATCTGAGATTAAAACCTTGAAGTCGCAGGTACTAGCTAAACTTGACACTTGCTATAGGACACACACTATATTAACTAACCTGAAATTTCGCTTAGAATTAGGTTGCGTAACACTTTTTCTATCCAGTGTTTTCTGACAGCAGAGATCCTCATGTCCTGTTTCAGAGTGATATTTAAGACATACGGCCGGTGTGGTTTATGTTGGCAGGCGTCACTTCACATGGACCGTGGCCTCGTTTTTAATGCCTTTTATCAATGTTCCTTGTGGTCAACGGATACCAGCTGTACGGCTTGGATTCACATAAAAACCTTGCACTCTGAAGAGCTCTTATACTGCAGCCAGGCCATGTGGTGATTGCCATGTCTCATTCATTTTGCTGACTGTTTTAATGCCTGTGACACTGTAAAGGGCTCGTCGAGCGGGTGCTGCCCGGGCATTTCAACTGGGGAGCTGGAGCCCTGCAGTTTTGTGGTGCGTGGGAGGTAAGTTGTGGTGGTGATGGAGGCAGGGGAGAGGTGGTTACTCCTTCTCATAGACACCCCATCTACAGAGCAGGTCTCATTAGAAACAGACATGGCCTGTTCATCCTCTTAGAGCCTGAGCAGACCCCCAGCCCTCCCCTGCTCCTGTCTCACCTTTAGAAAACACCTGTATTTTATTGTTGTAACTCCATTTCAGACCTGACCCCCTTTAGCCATGCTGCACCTCTGACCTCTGTCTTGACCCTGACACATGGAGGAGAGTAAAAATCAGAGCTGGAAAATAAAATCAGGGATGAAAGAAAAAGAAAGACAAGAAGTTGGGGAGGAAGAGGAGATGGTGGTTATAAAAGATCATGGGGGATGGAGATGAAAAAAAAGTGAGCAAGTACTGAGGCAAAGGAAAATGACGGCTCCTAGAAGGCTGCGGAATTGCTCTGATCAATCACGGAGCCAGTCGCTCAGCTGAGGCTTTGCGGACGTTAACTTTCATTTCCGTCACATCTGGGGCCTTTGTGAGGGAGGCAGATAAACTGTTTACCACCTGATCATAAGGCTTTGATAAGGACAAATTGCAGTGTCAGTGGAGCCTGCGTGTGTGTGGGAGCATCACACTCGCACGTATTGCAGGAAATGGAAGATGAGGGAACAATTTGCACGCGGGGATGCCGTCTCAGGACTGATCTCCTGCCAGGGCCGAGGCGGATCTCTTTCTGTCAGCGTTTTGGTGCAGCAACAGGTCAGATGACTTCAGATTTAAGGTATGTGACCAAGTCGCTTGCCATTATATGATGAATGGCTCGGCATCTCAGCGCAACTAACATGGGCAAGTGCGGCCTGATACTGTGCCATTTCTAACCTCCCGGTGTTCAGTTACAGCTTGGGCCGGCTGCAGAAGGAAAAAGTGAGCGGAAGCCAGCAGGAGATTTTCGCCATGAAATTTCAACCAAAAGATCTTCACGGCTGTGAGCGTTGGCAGCTCTCGCTAATGCTGTTTTTTATTTTCTGGAAGTGATTCTTTACCTACATCAGGATCAACAGGAAAAAAAACTCCCTCTCTCTCACTCTCTGCGATTGATTTGAATATTTTCCTGAGCAACAAGTACAGGAAACTAGTGTTGTTTTTGCAACCAGTCCAGCAAGAGGAGATAAATGCTTCCAGCATAATATCAGGCTGAAAAATATTCACTGCAAATGTGAAATAATAAAAGGGGTAAAATACATTTTTCCACGAGGAATGCCTTGGTCAAGTGATAATATTATGTGGTGTGTGGTATGGGGGGAACATTTGTAAGGACAGCCAGAAAAGCTTCAGGCATAGTATCAATTCCTTCTCCCTGCTTTGGTACAGCAACTCAGATATGCTGATATTTTTTATTAAAAGTCACCATGACCGTGTATGTTTCCAATAATAACGTCTTAAACTTTTTCAGACACGATTACACAAGTATTACAAGGGTTAGAACGTCTCAATCAGCTTTTGTTTGAACACTTTGTAAACATTTCGCACAGCACTCGCCAAATGAAAAGTCAAACCGAGCTTAAAGTAATAATCTGTGACATGTTCATATAAATAAATATTCATTTTTGCTACTCTCTTACTGATTGATTTAACACAAAAATGATCCTTGTCCATGAATATTTCTCCATTAGTTGTTGTAAACATTGAGTGCTTGTTAATTCTTTCCCAGAAAAATACTTCTGTTGCATGTTTCTGACAGCTGGAGAACTGGGTGTAGGAGCAGCGGTCACACCATATTTGCAGTGGTGCCACCAGAAATTTTTCTTAGGGTTGGCCAGATGGGGCCACTGAAAATCTTGGGTTGGCAGACCAAAACTAAAAGCCATAACTGATTTTCAGGAATTCTGTTATGCCAACACATTCTCACTCTGACTCATGGACCTTCCATGTCCAGATACAACATGAAAGGTACCCTGGGTGAAAGTCGGTTGACGACGAAGTTCTGCCTGTTACATACACTGTCTTCTTTCAAATTACACTTCCATTTTCATAGGAAATTTAACATTTACATGCAGTCTCTTTCAAAACAAACACACTACGTAAAAAAAATTGTGAATTGATGTTTTTTTCTTTCAACAACTAAACAACTAGGTTTAGGAAAAAAGAACAGGGTTTGGCTTCATAATCTTAAGGAACGCGAGCAACGCTCTCCTGAGTGAAAGTCGGTGTTTGTTGGACCCATCCACCACCACTCCCACCCGCCCTACTTGGACTTTTGCTGCCTTAACTTTTGTCCTTGTCCCGTTGCATTTCCCCCTAATGCTGCCGCGCGCCATTAAATTATAACGGCAGCCGGCTGTGTATCATACCAACGTTAAAGGCGGCTTTTTTCATCTGTGTCTGACGCGGCAAGTCACAGCCCAAGCACTGGATTTTGATGACTTCGGAGTGAGACTGGGTTGATTATGCAGTTAAAGTATCTAGGCTAGTTGAAACTTATGTCAATATGTAGAGGAATCGCTTACTGATATATTTTGGCTTCTTTTTCTATAGTTCTTGTCACTAGTTATCTGATGTTTATAAACTAAAGGCCCTGATACGTCAAGCTGACGCTAGTTTTGGTGGTTTTCCCTGCACCGTTTGTACTAGTCAGCCCTTGGCCCTGGCTTTTTTTCAGCCAATTCAGCATGTTGAATTGGCATCAGAGACAGTGGAGTCTGTCAGTGAATGAAATCGATCTGATTGGCAGTACAGCTCAGTGCACGAGAAGGGAAATTGAAGTGAGGAAAGTAAACAAAGGACTCAAGTCATGAGGGCATCACATCGAAACAAACTTGTTATACCATAAGTAAGGGCATAAATATAGAGAGTGCAGGCAGTGCAATTGCACAGGGGCCTCTGGGGTGGAGGGGCCTGTAGAGAGAGCAGGCCCTTGCAAGTGATTCAGATTGATCAGAAATATACCTGCATTCTGGTCTTACTTTTTTGATGACAAATACAGACTACTGCCACCTGCTGGTATGGAAAGTTATTTCCTCTCACGCAGGCACAGAACATTCGTGCCAGTTTGCCATTGGCTGTAATCTTTGCGGTATGTTCAGGTGCAGCTTTTTAGCCAAGTCACAGGTGACATGAAGCGATGCAACAATTAGACCTTTATGCCACTAGTTCTTTGATGTTGGTTTGGTGTGTCTGGGCCTTAATATCGGTACAGTTAACATTTTGAGCTCCACAGCAATTTTGTTTTAATTTGTTACATATGTTAGGTGATTCATTGTTCTTTAAAAGGTTAATTGTCCTTTTTCTTAAAAAGGACAATTAATTAACCATTCTAATTTGAAGGAGTACATGATTGTATGAAATAAAACAGTTCCTGGGAACAAGCCTTCTCAAGTCAAGGGGAGACTTGTGGTTATCCAGCCTAATTTTGGAGCGATATTAATCCCTTTCCTGACAACTTATGCTGACGTGGTTACCACCAATGGATGCCTTGGCTTGTTTTGTTTTGCAAGATGCCACTACCTTCGATGCTAGCTTAAAAAAAATGAGCCTCTTTAAGACTGCCTTGAAGGTACCACAGCATGTTTGAACAGAAAACAAAATGAATCCCACCTAGAGATGCTCAAACCTTATTAGAAACAGAAAATGGAAGAAAAATAGATCAGAGCTGCTGATGGATTCACAAGTGAAGTGTAACGAATGCCACAGCTGTTACAGACAAGCCTCTTACCTTTGCAGGCTCGTCGGTGAGTGATCGGCCTTGCCATGTCTCTATAAAAGCCCTCCTTGCAGTAGTGGCAGTGGCGGCCTGCGGTGTTGTGACGGCAGTTCATGCAGACGCCTCCACTCTTCCTCCCTGACAGCTTATACAACTCCATATTGAATCGGCAGCGACGGGCATGGAGGTTACAGTTGCATGCTGCAGAGGGAAGAGAGAAAAGTTATCAGTTGTGTGAACATCAGCAAAGGAGGGTAAATGTAAAAGTATCTCCACAGTATTTATCCTTAAGGAGTCTAAATGGAAGTTAGCTCAGATGAAATATTCACACGGAGTGTGCAATGCAGTAAAACATATGGTCACTACCAAGTATATCGCAGGAGAGTTGGCGGAGATTTTCCAGTGAGGCAGTATAACAGTGAGTGGTTTATAATCTACACTGCGGCTGTGTGCTTGGCTGCTATTCCAGAACTCATCAATCAAAAGTGATATTTGCAGAGCTCATTTTCTCCATTTCATAATTAATGAATTCTGCTTCTCTCGGCCCATTAGTTATTAATCACTGGAAAGAGAGACATTAATTTCATGAATCACTGATGAGTAAAGACTCCTAAGATCTATTAAAAGCGAGAGCGATTCAGATAAAGGAACGGACTCGAGCTAGCTGTCTTCTAAATGAGGCGAACCGCAATATATGGGAGATGTGAAGTGAGGTTATATCTCTTCGCAGTCCCTCCCAGATGCCTTTATGTCTCTTTGCCTCACCAGTCTTTCCATTGATTTCTCCATATTAGACCACATTCACCAGCTCTGACATTATTCAGAAACTCCGCTCCACTCTCTACATGTGGGGTTTGCATTTGAGAAGCCTTAATGAGAAACCTGCCCTTCTTGTTTGTGTAATAGAGTTTGATCCAGACCCTCTGCTGGTTAAATCAGAGTCAGACCTGGGACCTGAAGACTTGGCTGCGGCTTCAAAGACGACTGCTGCAGAGCTTAGCTCTGGTTCAAAGTTATCCGCAGATAAATTAGAAAGGAGTAAACAACAGCAGAGCTGTTTGACCGAAAATGTCAACAGTTATGGCAAAAGAAGGATTATTAGGGCATCACAACAGAGGGTGATATTAATTATTCTGGTGTGAGTGTGATTAAGAAACATGCACTAACAATAGATGTTTAGAAGAGAAAAAGACACAACAATGGGGAATAAGCAAAGACAGAATGGCTCAAGGACTGGGAGGACTTTATGTATGTGTGGCTTTGTGTGCCATACAGTGACTGATGAGTGGGAAGTTAGAGAAAAGTAATACAAGTACTTTTATGAGTCAGAGAAGATAACAAAAAAGATGTTTACTTGTCACCTGGACTCCATTTTCCAATGTTTTTGGGTGTACGTGACTAATGGAGAAAACGTTTTTTCAAATTCAGTGCGCCGCAACAATGTAACAATAATAAGCAACAGTGCACCTTCAATTTACTTCCACTAAAAGTGCTTGTTTTTGCCACTGACAGGCTCAGATTGTTATTAGAAGTGTCTGACAACATTATGGAGAGGATCCCTACAGAGTAAGACTCTTTTTGTTCAGCTAGAAACAGCCCTGAAATCACTATCGACAAACCCACCAGACTCCATTTAAAAAAAAACAGTAATTTATCATTGGACAACACACTTTATTTAGAGTCAACAGAAACAAAATAAAACTCACAAAAACCCTCTTAGATTGTCTTTCCACTGTTCCAACAATCACTAACTCTGGTTTGGTTGAAATAAACCCTTAATTCACCCAGCTGGATGTGAAAATGTGCTGTCTCTATACATGCTAAATTTTCTGTTTATTTAAATGGAGTCTGGTGGGCTTGCTGATACAGATTTTGGGCTTGTTTCTCATTAAACAAAAAGATCTATCTCTGTAGGGATCCTTTCTATAATATTGTCAGACACTTAAAATAACAAGCCAGTATAGTATAGATAGTTAGCTAGTATAGACTAGTGGTGCACAATTGCCCCAAGTGGTTACATTGCAGCATGTTTCATTGCTGCCGCCTGCAGCACTCTTGTTCAATACTAAACAAGTTTCAAAAAGTGTTTTCTTCATTAGACACTTCAATACAAAATCATGGGACTATAGGGTCCAGGTTGAAAATTACCCAAGTTACCCTTTAAAGTCTCTTTCTTCATCACCAGCTGACACATGCACTGCTGCTGCAGCCAAGGTCAGCTCTGCCGTTACACTGAGCTCAATGATCTGTATAATGTCAGATGAGCAGTTGCAGTTGATCAAAAATGACTGTTAATGTCACCCATGGCTCTCTCACAGGAGAGGAGTGACTTGAATTTATATGTCCAGTAATATGTAAGCAGTGAATGATATGCCCCTCCATCCACACTGAAAAGGGAAGCCTGGCACCAGGTTGGGAAAGAGGCCCAGTTTTCCCTGGTTGCAGACCCTGGAAAAAAAAGGGGGGAGCACATTCCCAGACTGTTTCCCAATTCCAGCTGGTTATTACGTGGCCCAATTTGTATGGAATTCTGTAGTTAATTAAATATTTTGTCATGTATGGATCCATATTGTGAAGAGACACCGCTGGATGTTTTGGTGTGCTCTCATGAAATGGCAAGATGAGGACTGAACTTTGACTCTGGATAAAAATATAGATATGTATTCTGATGGAAGCGTGCACACTGAGTTTTAAGTGATATGTTGCATGATTTAACTAAAAAAAATGTTCCAAATTGAATCGGTGTGGATGCATGTGTGTAGTGTGTGTGTGTGCATGCGAACAACTAAACAGCCTGTCCAACTTCTTCTAAGGGGAATGTGACAAAGAACACACCAGCTCTGGTGAGCGGCTGGGGCTGCTGTCGGGGGGAGACCGAGGTGGGGGACTGTGATTATGATCAAGCGTCTCAAACACACACACAGCTGTGAGCACTTGTGTCCATTAACACCTTGTAGCAGAACATGAAAGCGATGGATTGCGTTTTCTCCCCCTGCTGAAGTACTGACGTTGCCTCTCATGGCATCTTCTCGATTCACTGCCGTGCAACAAGATCGGCCAACAAAGTCCGAGGCAGGAGAGGATACGTTCAAGTGTGGAGAATGCAAAGAAAGTTCCAGAATATAACCTTTGAATGATTTAGCATGTGTAGCGGTGACGGCTTTAACAACAGCCAGACTTTTTGTGACTGACAGAGAATTAGAGAATTAGTGTCTGGCGGGAAAAAGTAGTTTGGGAAAAGATGAATGAAACTGTGAACTAAGGTTGAGAAACTAAGCAAAAGGCACTCAGGTAGGTGTTTGTATGCATGTATGTGGGTTTTCTATGGTGTACATGCTGCATGCCGTTAACTTCAGCTTGGAGCTGCAGCTGCCTAAAGATCCTGGAATGTTTATGGGTTTGTTTTGAAGTGCTTGTGCGCACACACACACGCTGACACCCCAACCTGCCACCCCCACCACCGCAGCAGCCCCCCCTCACCCAAATTAGGCTCAGCGGGGATAACTGAACGCTGTTGAAGGCCATTTTTCAATTCATTAACACATCAAAGCCTCACTGGTGCTTTGCAAAAACACTTATTCTTATCTGTTGGAAAAGAGCAGACTTTTTCTGTGTTGTTCTGTGGGTGGTGGAAAGTCAGCAAAGAATCTGCGATCCTCCAGTGAGCGCGGCTCCTTTATGGGTCAGTGTCCAATTCAAGGATGCGTAAATCTGGTTCCTTGTGTTGTCGTGGAAATCAAACAACAAACACAAGCTACAGGCTTGGCAAACAGAGGGATGCTGCAACAAAAATAAAGGAGGGGGTGGAGGCAAAGGAGCAAGAAACCCCTAGGAAAATATTAGAGTAGGGAATAGTTGCACCACTTTGTCATCAAAATAAAGCGAGCCAAATGCAAATTTGAGTGGAATAACTGCAAGAGTAAATTTCTATCTGATATATTCCTCTAAGCAGTTTGCACACGTCTCCATTTGTGACATAGGTGGTGCTTACTTCCTTACTTCCTACAGGTAAGGTCAAGCTGCTCTAATTCAGCTTTCATTAAAGGTGCCTCAACAAGTACATGTGTTCCAAACAAGCTCACAGTCTGGCCTGTCATGTGTGTGCTCTGACAAATTGGCCCGTAAAGACTGCCCTTCGACAAATAAAATGCAAGTGTGTTTGTGGAGTGCACCGCCTCTCTGCTCCCCTCCATATGTCAGGGATAAATCTAACCTCATTTTTCCTTCAGCTCCACCAAAGCCAAGCCGGTAAGCACAGCCAATTGATTTTGGATGCCTGTGCAAAACCCAAATCCCATGGCTAAAATTGGTCCTTGAAAATTGGAGGGCCGCTCTCCCACCACCACCCTCTCCCCTCTTGGCCCCGGCCGTGGTCCAGACCTGCTGCAGCCCCCCTTGGGTGCCCTCTCCGCCTGGCCAAACAGGCTCTGCTATATGGGCTCCTGCCATCATGTGTATGTGTGTGTTGGTGTGTGTGTGTGTGCTGTGTGTTTGGGCTGAGTTCCGCCTGGCTGCTCCAGCCACCTGCTCAGGGCACCGAGGGGAACACCCGGTTAATTAGCTCCTCATTAGAGCCAAAGCAGTGTACAGTGTGGACAAACACACACACCAGAGACACTCCTTCAAGCGGTAGTAACTGCTCACATAATGACATGGATCAAGTAACAAAAGACGCCACAAAAAAAAAAAAAAAAGTCAGAAGTGAGACTTAAACAGATGTAAACACCGCTGGGTCTGTAGACTCTAATGAGCTGTGGACAACAAGCTGAGACAAAGATTTAAGAACACCGAGCTGAGGACTAACAGGAAACTACAACTCCTGTAGTCCTGCTGTGTGCATTTCGTGGACCGTATAATGTACACAGGAGCGTCTACCTCGCTGTAACAAAGCTGCTTTAGAACCACTTGCTCTTTCCTTCTCTTCCACACAGACATATCTTTCACTTCTACTTTGACACCACGTCTCAGCCCTCCCCTCCCTCCAATGGTTTCTGCGGTTAGCCTCACGCCGTGGGCTTAAGAGCCAGCTCTTGGAAGCCCTTTTGAACTGAGAGTCCCCTTAATTCCTCTCCCACCCCTCCCCTGAGCCACCCTCCCCTCTCTCCTCTTACTTTCACGAGACCCCATCTCAAATACTCTCACTGCTTTGCCTCTCCCTCCTTTCACCTGTTTCCTGCCCCGACCCTTTCTCTTGTCCATCC